GACGTTGGAAAGTTGGTTGGGATATTGATAGAATAGTAATAATACTAAGAGTAAAACAGCCAGTATTTCACATACGAACATAAACTTATCGTTCGCTTTGTTGTAGTCCTACAATAGGCTTAGGTTCACATCACCCATAGTTAACATCAAATAAATCCATCGGTTCAATGTGCGTGTTATCAGCTTGCGCTTAATCACGGCTGACTATGAAAACGGTTAGTGATGGCATGGACTTTAACCACTGAAGACACTTCCACGTGTGATGGATCAGCGTGTAGGGCTGGGAAATCCGATTCGAATGGGCGTACATTGACAATGTTGCGAGAAGATAGAGAGCAGCTAGAAAAGAATAATCCAAATGAACCAAGAGCATGCACGTCATTCGTGCGTGGATGACCTTGGCCGAATTAAAGGCCCCGCCACATGTCAAGGTGGCATGTTGCTACTCATGGATGACAAATCTCTTTAATAAGAAAGCAAGTATCGTGTCATGTGATTGTTCCGTCCCGAAGAAGTGATCGCAATAAACAATGAACACCTCCTTATGCAGCTGTCCACGCGTAATCCTGGAATTAGACACTCATCTAGCTTCAACTTTATCGAAAGGCCAATGCCAAGTAGTACGTTCCAGGCAATCTGTGGGTAATATATCCAATAAGATCCACAGAACCCATGCCAGAGTGGAGCATGTTAAGTTACTCACCTGCCCCATTCTTGAGCACTGGAGCCTAAAATATGCTAGTAATTAAAGGGTGACAGAATTGCTCTGGAATATATGCACAGGAGTTTTTCTGGGCATCTGATTTGTAAACAATCTGCCACGATCAGTGGACGCAAACACGCAGACCGCGGCCTGTAAGAAAACTAGCATACATCAATATTCGTAACCAGTCTTGTTCATGATGTCAAAATAGCTGGAGGTTATGATGAGGACAGAATAACAGTTCACGATCATCAGCAATGGCGCGTCATTCTCAAGACCCAGTCCTTATAAAACGCTGTGGCTGTACCAATTTCGAGACTATGAAGCTCTCCACGTTAAACATGTTGCAGTCTTAGGATTGTAAACTAGACACTGCGATTTATACAAAGGTCATGAAATATATTATGGTGTTGTTGTGCACAACACAGCAGACTACCTTCTGAACTCCGGTTCAAATCGGTGTCCTCCAAGCGGACACACGAAGTGAGCAATTTAACCGAACCACTTTCGGTTAGCTGTTTGGTTGGCATTACTCATCTAGCTGGACACCTACTACGTTACACACAAAGATTTGAGCAAGAAAGTAATGACAGAAACGTTAGATCCGATGCAAAAGAGTTCGTTACCGTTCCCACAATATATCAAGTGGTCAACGCGCCATAAATCGCCGCTACTTTACAAGAATAAAACACGTGCCTCGACTTACTGCTCCGAGGAGAGAAACATTCTGAAATGTACACCAATACACATGATCTCATAGACAATCTGGCTAAATTTCAAATACTTCAGGCATTATATCTCGGGACGTCATCTTGGTAACTTATACTGGGCTGCGATGAGAAATTATTGACCCCGAAGTCAGTGTACCTGGTATGTCTCTGTTTGTAAGGATATCCAAAGGAAGATTGTTGGGCTACTGTGCTTTCGACTAAATCCTCAGTGCGAACCGGTAGACCATCCGGAAAACCTGATCATAGAATCAGACTGATGCCGTCTGCGACAGAGAAGGAACAATATTTGCCTCACGGTAATTGTATATCCTCACTAGTACCCGCACAGGGGAACGACGCGTTTTACATTAACTTAGGGAATGATCCTGTGACCAGGATATGGCCATCTTCTGAATATATGACGAGTTATCTTTAAGCAGGACGATAATGAACTTCTGCTACGAGACCAGAACTCTGCTTTTGCATGATCAAAACCAATCCATTTCCGTTCAACGCGGAGAATTGCAAATTGATACGTGTACGACAGAAGCGGAATAACACGCATGGGCTAAGAAACGACGTTATGAAGACTGCCTCACAGTAGCGTGATCTTGAAGGAGTGACTCACGATGATTATGGCTGCACGGAACAATCAGCCTTGTCTGAAACCGGGAAACTACGTGTTGGTTTCTTACCGATGGCTGTCGTACAGTCTGACCATTCAATCTTCCCACAAATGCTTAATGCTACAGGTGGAGTTAGCCACCTGACGAGTCCAAACCAGGACGAAACCGCGGTTGTGGTGTGCCAGTCTTGGGAAGAGCAACACCTATCCATTTCTATTCCAGATACGGTCCTCGAGATCTGAATGACCGAGGTTTACCTCAAAGTGAACCGAGGTCTCTACACAGCTTGTCTCCTAAATTCTGCTTTGTAATTCACTGTCAATAGAACAATTGTTCTAATTTTATCCAAGGAGTGAGAAATTAGTAGAGTGTTGTACGGTCCAGGAGCTTAATTGAGGAACGCGTGCAGCATCATCTTAAACATTCAATGAAGACTAAGGTATAACTGGGCTCAAGCGTGGCGTCATGACATGGGGAAGCTTGTGGCCATGGTAGCTATAGAGCCTGTAAAAACTTCTTTTGAGACATAAGTCGAGATTGTGGAGCCGAATAGCGATTGCCTCTGCTGTTGCTAATAGGCGACATCAGAAGGCTCGCGTGTGAGGTCCAGATAATTTTAATCCGGAACTCACCGGTCCGAATCCGTGTGCATGCGGACGACCACGCGGTAAACTCAGATCATGCGCCACTAGTATTGCTCACGGGACAGGAAGGCGTCGGTACGAATTCTACACTACTATCACCGTTAGGTTTTCGGTATCATTAATACTAAGCACACCACTTGCTGCATGTTCATAGTGCTGTTTTTCTGCTTGTTAATGAAGGTATCGAATGACAATTATGGAAATTAAACTAACGGCTTCATTGTCTTGTCTTGGCCAGTGAAGTGATCGGTTTGGAAGAGCCTGACTTTAAAGCCAAACCACGCCATAATGGAGATACGGTGTCACGAACCAAAAAACACGGCGGGTGTTATAGGCTTGAAAATCAACTTATAAAATCTGTGGCAAACGCTGCTCGCAGACGTCAATGTCCTCGTGATCATGACGATAGCCACCAGACGCTGGGTGCCGAGTTCCACTCCCAGAGCAGGCTATCTCTACCTGACGAGTCTAAACCAAGAAAAAGCCATCCGTCTTGGAGGGCAGGGATGGGAGACAGCAAACCGAATCAGTCTAATTCGACATGCATTAAATTGCTTAGCTCTTTGGAGATGCTAACTAGATGTCATTTAATCATCTGCACCAAATGTTCTCTCTTCAGAAGCAAATAATGTCGGTTAATTAACTGGTGTTTTAAAATTGGTAAGGTGACTGTGTCCTCTATGTGGTATAGTAAGAGGCTGCAAAGTTCGCCCTGGCAACCAGCTATACAAGGCTGAAGATTCAATCCTGGTTGGTGTATTATGAGTCAGCCAAACTTGTTTGAGCTGTTGCGTAATGACAGTTATCCGACGACTCTGCTTCTTCCTTTTCGATAACAACTCTCGGACGGTAGCTAAACGAAGCACCGCGAAAGCTTAAGGAATCCCCACAGCCGATATTTTGTCTTGGGGTTGTCCCGCAAAATGGTCGTTACCGTTCCCCATAGTCCAGTGGTTTCAACCACGGACTGGTAACATTCGGGTTGCGCGCCCGATGAAATGCATGTACAGTGCTTTTCCGGGCGTGTGATAATTGTCATAGTGAGTCTAGAGGTAATGAATTTCTACCTATAACATTCAACTCCCCCTACTACTCTCCGGTAATCAGTACGCAGAGCAAACTGCTTATAATGCCATAAGTTAATTGGCGGCCTTATTTTGGTAAGCTCGTCGCTTGGTGAGGGGGCTACCCTGTCCTCTGCACGGCAGTAACATGTAAGTCAGTGGATAGTGAGCGGCGCTATATCACATCTAGTAACTTATTCACGATGGTCGTTGCCATCCCCCGTAGCTTAGTGGTCTTCAACCACGGACTGGTAACAGTCGAGTTGCGGGTTCGAGCCCTACCAAGGTCCGATGGAATGCGCGCTGCTGACGATTCCCGAAAGGATGAAACGCGCGTACAGTGCTTTTCCGGGCGTGTGGTGGCTATCTGAGTGAGTCTAGATGTGACGAATTTCTACCTATAACATTCAACTCCCCCTACTACTCTTCTGTAATCAGTACGCAGACCAACTGCTTATAATGCCATAAGTTAATTGGCGTCTTAAGCTTGGCAAGTTCGTCGCTTGGTGAGGGGGCTACCCTGTCTTCTTCATGGCAGTAACATGCAAGTCAGTGGATGGTGAGCGGAGCTATATCACAGTTAATAACTTTTTCACCATGGTCGTTGCCGTCTTCCGTAGCTCAGTGGTTTCAACCACGATTCGCAACATTCGAGTTGCTCCTTCGGACCCTACAATGGTCGGATAGAATGCGCACTGTTGACGATTCCCGAAAGGATCCAAAGTGCGTACAGTGCTTTTCGGGACGTGTGACGGCTGTCGGAGTGAGTCAAGATGTAACGAATTTCTATCTATGCCATTCAACTCCCACTACTACTCCGCTGAACTAGATCTATTAAATCTCTTTAATAGATAGAAGGGCTACAACTCTTTTGTAAAGTTAGCATATTGGAATTTTTATATCAATGGGGCTCCTCATTTTAGAATGCCTACTGCGAGCTTTTTGACAAACAAATATAGGATAACTTTTGGCCTTGCTTATGGGAAAGGTTGTTACATAATGATCGGAAACTCCTCTACTTTTGTCCAGTGATTGTCATTTTCCGGCCCAGCGCATCATGCGACATCCCGATGGGAAAATACACTACACACTTTGCTTCAAGATGTACCTTGTGGAAATGTGCTTAAATAAAGAAACTATCTACCTCTTTCTAATCATCTGCATTCGTTTCACCTACATCACAAGTGGGGATTAATTGCATCATCCACAAATGGGAACTCACTTCAACTTGGGTACCGCTTCCAATTTTCCAGACGATCACGTGATCACGTTCATGCTGCGTGCCGTGCAATGCGGTAAGTGGCTGTATGAAACCGAGAACCCGTGCCTCAAAGAACTTACCACAGGTGAGCCTTGGAATATTACATCATTTGGTGAACATAAATTTCGTAGTACGTAACAGGAATAGATACTAATGGAAAATCCCAATAACCATTTGTTTTTTTGGGATAATGCTTACTGGCAGTAATCCATATTGTTAATATGTGTGGTTTATTTCATATCAGTATGTAGGAATTGTTAATTAAGTTGTTATTTTCCTCAGTAGGGAATTGCAGGATAAAATTTCTCCATGCTTGGTATATTTCTGTACTCTTCGCTAGTCATTTAGTCCTAATCTGATAAGCTATGGACATGCCTTTAATCCATGGTTAAGCGTCGACTGCGTTGCAATCAAGGAAACGTCCTTTGATTTGCTCAATTAAATAGAAAATTTCTAATACGTTTACTAAAAGATTGGAGGAAACCTTGCTTTTTCGGCGTCCATGTGCATCGTATTTCCAAGTGAAACCTGGCTTACACTGAGATTAACGCATGCTCAGAACAACAGTTTAATTAATGCAGTATGCATGTCATTCGTGGTGAATTTTCGTATTTGTTCTGACAATACTATATTCTGGTAAACATTCGTGTTGTGATAGACTAATAAATTTTGTACTTCTGAATACTTGTGAGGCAATGATCTGGTAGTTTGTTACTAGCTACCAATAGCAGTTCATGACACTTTAAAGTGGTGCCTAATACTAGCATGCGACGAACAGTAAAAGCGGCTTGACATGTGCAGATATACATATAATTGAAACGTGTGGGAATTACCATAACTAAACTAAGCGAGAAAATATAACACTGGTTTTGGGAGTAGAGTGTCACATGTCCGCCATTAAGCATGGTTTCCCGCCTTATCGGCGAGAATTTCCAGCCATGTGTGTTCGTAATTATTGCGCCCGCAGCTAAGGATTCGAGAACGATCAACCACGATTAACTTGGAAGTTAGCTCCTTCATGATTCCGGCCTAAGTCGAACGTTAGTCAGCTTGATTTTTTTCCAGCCGACTTCTGCGCGCGCCACGTGGGCATGCGAACCACATGTCCTAGCCGCTGAACTGCGCAGTGAAAGTATACTTCACATGTACCTACAAAGTCCGTCTGCTCTGAGAATCCGCCGGCGAACCTTCTCATTACAAGTGTGATGTTTCTATCGTACACAAGCAATGCTCCGAAGGCAGCGGGGATCGAAAATAGACAGCATCTTATTATCGTTTGTGCGTACAGAGCAACTCACGCAAACCTAGAGCAGGACCGCTCTCACCCTGGTAGTGTAAATTACGCCTTTCAGAGACCTAGACAGCTTTCCACTACGCCAATGATGGTGGAGAGTATCAAAAGTAACTTGGATCTTGGAGACGCGCAAAGGGACCTCATGCGTTGAATCATTAGCGTAGTTGCAGCTTCCTAGGTAAAAGAACTTGTTTATTACTTCCAGAAGATGACCAGGAATGGTAAGGATAAAAGCAGCGCCTAGCCATTCCTGCAGGAAGAATTACAATTCCATGGTACGTGGGTCACTCCAAACTGGAGGCAGACACGTCCAACCCCCAACAGAACATTTGAGCGCCCTGAGAGGAATCGAAAAGTATGGCATATTGCATACTCCAAATCCCGAACTCAGTGTTTCGGAAGCAGCTCGATACCGTTGGGCTGGCAGTTCGCCAGAGCACTCTACACGATTACGTCAATAACGAAATCAAACAGGGTAATACTGTTAAACCCTGTCTCACACTGCTGGTGATAAAAATGGTGGGCGAAAGCCCGTCTACACCCGCATTCTGCCCGAGGTTTAAGAGAAAATGACTCGAAGGACTATGACATACTTCTATGGCACTTCACTTATCAGTAGACAACTCCAGCTAGCAGCTCGACCAACTGAGTCAAACCCGGCTCGTAGGTCTAACATGATACTGATTGTTGGTGATTCAAATGTTTGACGACGCTCAAGTATTTGACGGAGTGTTAAGATGTGCTCGGGGCAACTACGACCTGAGCTGAACCCAGCTTGCCCTTTACGTATGCCCTGTTCGCGTACCAGGTTGAGCCTCCTTATAAGCAGAGCAGCGAGCAGCTTGAATGAAACTCAGATGAGACCAATCCCTTTGCTGTTGGCGTAATCTGTTCGGGTACTCTTTTTGAAGACAAACACGGTAGCCGCTAGACTCCAATCAAATGAGACAACTTCGGTGAACCAAAGCTCTTGGATGAGGGAACTTAACCCCGAACAACTTATGTACCTTCATGCTTTAAGAAAGCGTGTGGGGTTCATTTGGGTCAGGGGCTTTGTAGCACTTTAAGAGGCGAAAATCATGGGTAATCTCAGCCTCAGATGGAGGGGAAGCCTCTGCACACCATGGCTCACTCTGGATTCCAGAATGGGAACTCACCTCTGCTGCTGAACAATTACCCTGCCGTTTAAACTGCTCGGCTCAACGCTCGCGTCGGCATTTTCGACAGTAGATTGTCTCACCATTGGTTTCGCATAAAACCACGCTTACAGTCGGCTTAATGCCGCTGGTGGATCGCACCAGGTGGTAAAGCTTTTGACAATTCTCCGAGGTAGTCGCTTGCTCCATCTCAATGACTCACTGCGCGCACCAGGCTTCACGATATTCTCGGAGAAGCTGTTTGAGCTAACTTTTGTATTCCTGCACAGTAAAGGGTATTCAACATCAGCAGAACTTGAAGAGACCGCGCGGTTGATAGTAGTACTTGTGATACCCCAGATCAGGATTGCAGCGTTGTACATGGTCCTGCGTTTGAGTGTCCAGTGTTTCAATGTCTGTGCATGAGGCGGTCTTCAGCTTTGAGGCCAAAGCATCTTGCAATGTCAGGATAGGAAGAAGGAACAGAATTTCGACAGGGAACTCTGAATGCAGATATTTCGTGTATTCGCATTAGATGTTAACATATAATCCCTTGAAAACTGGTGTTGCGTGCAAAGGAACCGATATGCATGTTCATCCATTTAAATATGAAGCACTCAAAAAATTACCAAGACATGGTGAGGCTGGCCATAAACTCAGTCTGTTTGCACCAATTAGATTTCGGCCGCCGAAGTGCTGAAGCTTCAGCAAACAGAAGCAGGCGTGGATTGCTCTCTCACTTAAGTATCCTGAAAGATTCGCGGGGATTTTGACGTATTGAGCAGTTTATGATGTCTGCGGAAAGCGTTCGGGGCAGAAAGTTTATCCAGCTCAAGCCGTTTCTGGCGGCACTGATGACCTACCAAAAGGTAACGCGACTTTAACAGACACCGGCGCGTGATGCGAAAACATAGAGGTGCCCCAGTTTGATTTGTAATACTGTATGCAGCCCCCAGCGACAGCTGATGGCGATGTGATCAATTTATGTCCACTTGCCAGGTGAAGGAGGTCTCTAGATGGTGCGTTGGCGCCAGGATCTCCAAATGCTAGTGCTTAACTGCAAGTGGCCTTGATCGTGCAAGGCTGAAGTAAGTGACCACCGTTTTCTGTTCTGCGAATACCATGACCGTGTTGACAACCGAATTAACATTTGCCAACTTCAAGTCTATGGACTTGCGCGTTCAAGTCCCCGACAAGCAGCACAAAGTCAGTGCGGCGCTTTTTAAGGAGTCGGCCAGGTGACAAAATAACTAATCCTTAGCTGACTACTGGCTGCAGTCTGTGTGTGCATATGCTGCGACAATGAACACTAGGTCTGCTGGCTCCGCGCCTTGATAGTCGCACTGAGCTTTCAAGTCGGATCGCGCAGAGTCGAAAGTTGACAGGGATTCAGTCTAGTAGCGCGGCCTCAGTACGTGTGCTCAACCCAAACCTAACGCAAACATATCCAGTGGCTTCAACGGTTGAGTCTCCAGGCAGGTGCAACGTGGAAATGTCAGTGGTACTCGCAGACGGTGAAACCAGTCGTAGCGTTGTGCTAGATTCCTGTACACGGGTCTCACTGAAGTAGCAGACATCAACAGCTGTAGTCTCAAGCGTGCAAAGACGACCTTTGATCCGATCTACATTGCCTTCCGAATATTTAAGGCATCCAGCTTGAATTGGGAAGGGCGCGCTAGAAATGGCTTGCCGACACGGTTTGACGAGCCGTAGGACCTAAATTCTTTATCCATATAAGGAAAACTCTCGTCTTAGGCGGCACGATGTTGTGGGTTCGGAAAAGTAGGGGAAAGTCCAAAAATGGAGGATGAACAAACATAATAATCTGATTAAACAGTGGCGCGGTAAAATGTGGCTTCGCAGATTCCGCTGCCAGCCCCTCGGCCGAGGAGAACAGTTCCAGAGTGACAGCAGAGTGAAGGTAAGGAAGCGAAGAATTGCTAAGACTTGGTTCAATAGGTTGTCCGGACAGGGTGACTTGGCCGAAGAAAAGGTTGCGTTAGGGGAACTCGCCAAGAGCCTTGGGTTATAAAAGACCTAACATCGAAGGCAGCATAGCCATTGAGGTAAACCGCGAATAGTTGGAAGCCGGCTGTCTAGGTAAAATTAACGCAGCATTCAAGTAAAAACAAACTACTTAGGGTGCTAAAAAGGGCTTGAGTTTAACAGGAAGAAGGTCAGGATTTCTTGGAACACCGAACACGCCACTACGCACGAAGGCCGTTGACAGCCGGTTGGCTCATACGCCTTCATAGAAGCCGGTGGCCATTGTTAGATTAGACCAATCCTAACCAACCCAATCACAGTGATCATCGTTGAACCGCTATCAATCACGGTATTGAACACTCCGACATATACAGAGCAGCGTGGGATTCGGCGTCATGGGCTAACGCAGTCCGGTGTTCCAACTTCAGGCCTGTAGCTCAGCTTGGTCAAACACATGGATTCTCGAAATGTGTCCATAATACTTGTGCAGGGTTGCGACAAGTGGGCGACGGAGGTTGGATGGATCCATACAGTGTGTTTACAGTCAGTCGGAATGCAAGTTTTCACAAGAACGTAAGTTGTTTGGATCCGCTCGGTTACACATGATCTGGATTGCACCAGACACTTGGCTGTCCAACCAAGTAAGGATTCGGCAACTAATCACAAACGGGACCGTGACTCAACACATATTTTTCGCCGGTAGTCCTCAGGCAATTCGAAATGATCAGGAAAGACACTCGACAGTTGTGCCAGAATAACGAAGAACCTTTAGTTGGCACAGCAATCAATAATGCCTTGCAGCACTGGTTCCGTGCTCCAAATAAAAGACAGCAAGATTCGCACTTCCCTTGCAGCTGCAACAATCCAAGTGTCAGTTTATCCTCAAGAATGTCATGCCATTACTGATTTCTTTTGCAAGGAAGAGTTAGGATTAGACCAATCCTGACTAGCCCAACCGCACTGCTCATCGCTCAACCGCTATCGATTAGGGTATTGAACACTACGTCATATCCAGAGCAACGTGGGATTCGGCGTCATGGGCTGACGCAGTACGGTGATCCAACTTCAGAACAGTGGCCCAACTTAGTCAAACACTCATATTCTAGAAATGTGTTCATAACATTAGTACCGGGTTGTAACAGCGATCGAGGTTGTTATCCGCCCTCTGTTAAGTGCTCACTTCCGATAGCAAGAGTGAGTGTTCAGTGACCCTGTAGCTGATCACATTGACTTTGATAATGTGTCTTACGAACTGTTTGATATTTAACGAGGTGATCCGCCAGGTGATCGGCCCAGTGTCCCCCATCTACTAGACCGCTGCCTCTGATTGTCCGCGACTGCTTGTGCAACACGCCTGCGAACTGCCAAGACTTATCCACAGGTACTTTCGTAAGGAAGGCACTCCCAGATCCGCACTCTAGGGATGCGCTGGGTGGTGTACAGCTCCGCTGAACCCAGCAGTGCTCGGTTTACCATTGAAGTGTCATTGATTGGGATTCGCGATAAGCTAAACAACTAGCCGGTTACAATGTAAAGGACCACTAACAACCAAAGTTGTAGAATACTGAAAGCTCGAGTGCATCAAGTTTGCTATAAGTTCCGCTCATTAAAAGGCGGGGATAATTATTTCTTTGATAAGACCGCCAGGCCTGGAAATAAGAATTGAGATTAAACCAGTACTCGACGTGGTCATACAATCCTACACGACCATTCAGCTACCTTCCTGCTCAACAGTCGGGTTGCACTAGTACTGGCAGAGGTAACGTTCATTTTCGATGCCGAAGAGGTGCACACATTAGTCGGGTTTTACACACCTGCCGTGTGTCTCGGAATGCGACCCATAAACTAAATTATGAAATCCGTTGACTTTGAAGTCAACCTATACCCTGCCGATTATTGAGAAGGTATCCACATAGGGTTCACTGTGGCAAGCACTGCTTTCAGTGCTCATTGAATTATTGCTCATGGCGATAGCCACCAACCACAATATGCCGTTCCACTCCCAACTCAGGCTATATCTATCTGAGGGCCCAAACAAGAAAGAAACGTATTGTGGAGTGCGGAAATGAAAGGGAGCAACACCGGAACTCTCTATTTCCGCTGTGGCACCGATGAACTGAATTGTAGAGGCCGACTTCATCGTCAACTGAAGCCACAATAGAGATTATGTGTCACAATCTAAGACTCTCGGCGGGTGATCCAACGCCCTGCAATCAACTTTTAACCGCTGTGGTTCAATGGCCTAGTAATCTTGGCGATACCTGCCGACGACTAGTTGTAAATTTCTTATCTTAACTCAGGCTATTTCTATCTGATGAGTCCAAACAAGAATGAATAATATTTTTGGAAATAGTTGTGATCCGTATTGTCATATAGGAGCGTGTAATCGACAGTTTAATTCCAGGCATCCGAAATTTAACTAGCTAACGGCGCCTTCCTGAAGCAGTTACTGGCATTTCATCTGCCAATAGCTGGAAGAGCTGGATAGACGCTGCCAACATGTGCCACATTCAAAAAGCGCCACAAAGAGAGAGACTTTATTTCTGCCTATAACTCACGAAACCGTAATGCTGTATTCATGTCTACTCCACAAGACCGGTCATCGACCAAAGTTTTCTCTTCGTAGTCGACTCCTATATGGAATGACTTGAACTCTTTCTCATGAATATCACTACAACCAGTGCAACTACATCAAGCATCTTCTCGGAGATACGAGGCTTGGCACCGTCCATGCAAGTCCTGAGATTTAGTACTCACGCGGACGTACCGGAAAGCTCACATAGCATGGACTCTAGATGAGGTCGAACACAAACGTGGAAGTGTACTTTATGATGATCCAATCCTTGTTCTGCCATGCACCTCAGTTATGTCTAAGGCTGTACCATTCAGAAACGAAGAAACCAACTAGACCACCTTTTGCCTCTTCGTGGATCATTTCGACTTAACGAAGCCCGACAAGGAAGGTTGCAGTTAACACGAAAATCCAGCGCCAAACCCAAATGCACCTTAACATAAGCGATATAAGCAGGGGCGTAGAACACCCTCCTTAAGACTACAAATCAACTTAAGGCTCTTAGTTTACACCAAAGCTGTGATCTGAATAGGGCGATAGATGAGAGAAAATAAAATTTCCCATCTCGCATTTGAATCGTAATGCATAAGTTCTGACTCTAAGCGTTAGCGTGGATTACTCTGATAAGTTCTGCCCAAACGTCAAAGCAAATAAGCACCAACAGTACGCAAAACTCCAGTGTGGACTAGTGCGCGTAGGAATCAATTAGTATCCCAGTATCCTGTCCTCGTGATCGATATAGAGGTATAATCCCTCTCATAGGACGTCTGATTAACGTGTATGGATTAAATAACAGACTTTACTCGACACGCTATTTTGATCGAGGCTTCATTTAACTAAAACCATTTAACTAAACCCAAGGTCTGGCTGTACTTTGTAGCATGTACAGAAGCATCTATTTATTTCACAATTCTGCCGCATCACATGAGAGAAATGACCTGGCATGCTACTGTTAGTTGATTGCAAGCACTCGAAAGAACCGAATGCACGAAATGAGAAGGTCATCGCGTAGCCCGCGCCTTATTATACCTTCAGGAAATGCACCTTAGCAACAGATGGATGTCATCATTTGACGCACAGTCATTGTTTAGGGGAATTCCGTTTTTGGAACCAGAGCAATATGCTGGCCAACAGATAGAACATATTAACATACCTATAAATCTACCGGAAAATCTTCTGAAGGAAGCTTTACTCAGATGCCCGTTAAATATGCACTTCGCCTTCAAAGGGGAATATATCCTCAAATCCTCTGATTATTGTCTCAGTTAATTTTTGTTGGTTAACTGGATTTTACGTGTACATATGCTATTTCCTTTAGTGACCGCGTGATTTGGCGATTCCTTTTAATTGGAATTAAGCTTTCTGATCATTATGTAGCCGTATCAGCCACATCTAGTATGTAATCTACCTAATTTAAATCCTGAGTCTGACGAGAGTTACCGAACAAATCCTTTACTCAGTAACAGCTTCAATTCAATTCATGTATCTGTGTGTGTGTGCACTGTATCCTGTCCTTATAGTGGAAGATCAGCGCGCAATGGAGACCCTGCTTCTGGCGGAAGAAGAAGTTCTCGGAGCCCAATTTGCAGTTCGGTGAGCTGTTTTTGCTTGTGTGTAGCGTATACACGCGATTTACCAGTTCCCGTGTATAACAATGAATGTACTGTGTACTCAAAAAAGCTTACTTGATTGACCTGGATTTGTATGGTGGCTCATACGCAGATTCAAAACGGAGAATCATATAATAAGTGTATATATGCTACGGTTTATCAATCTCGTAAGATTGCCTGTGTGAAGTTCATAAGCTTTAGGAAAAACAGTTTACCATTATGGCAAAATGCAGATTTGACACCCTTGTAAAATCCATCCACTTCGACTTCATGATAGCTGGTCATGAAAATACTGGTTTCGGTATTGTCGCTGTTCAATAGACGAGAGCGGTCACATAACGCATATAGCGAAACGCATCCTCGAGTCGTATTTGTTTCCGAATTGTTATCGAGTGAAAAATGTTCCGAGTCGGAATAACGTTTCACAGCTGACCAGTTGGTGGGATTCCTGTCGCACTCCAGTCAGCTATATTGAGTGATCCCTAATTTTTCTTGCGCCCAAGTTTCTAAAGGTGACGGCAAACATGATTGGAGATTTTCAAAACCTTATATGTTAAAATGTGGTCACTCCATAGACCGGTATGACTTCAGACGTACACTACTGTGTGTTTCAACTGTAGTTGTTAAGGCAGATCCGATTATCAATTGACATTTTAGTTTCCATTGGGTTAGTTTTCCATTAGATTTGCTTTCTACCAGCTACTGCTACTTAACTGCCACCAATCCCGCACTGAAGATACCACCTCAAATGGTGGCGAAACGTTTGCAATCAAGTTGGCTAGTTCGGAGAACTCCACAACTGATTTTAGTTACCGTTTGCAGTGGGGACTCCAGTAAAGCCAGAGTTGAATCCGGTGCCTTACACACTGATTATTTGCGAAGAAGATGGATGCTCTAACCCCCGAAAGCCCTCCGTAAACGATAAGCATGCTGGTTCTTATTTTTGGACTCCACAGTTGGTAAGTATTTCAACGTGCCTCCTAGGATTGACACGCTACCACCGGTTTCGTCCTTGTATAGTCTTATCAGGTATAGATAGACTGAGCTGGGAGACAATATATATATAAATATATATAGCGGTATTTATTCATATTTTGAAAATCAGATTTTGGAAACCTCTAGTTCCGTTTGCAGTCAATTTCTAATAGTTTACAACAACACAAATTAAAGGACACGCAATGCAGCTGACTGCAGTGCCGCAAGAATCCCCCCAATTGCTAAGCCGTGGAACGCTCTTCAGACTCCTAACACTTTTCACTCAAGATATATTTAGACTCCTCCCAAATCATAGGATTAAACGTCCAGATTTTTAAAGCCATGGAGTTAAGAATCAAAGAGAAGTAAACTTGAAAACCCCTGGGGAAAAAACCATTAATGAGCAGAAACGAAAAAAACGTGAACACTTTTATCTTGTTTACCCGCCATATTGCTTTTCACATTTTTTAAATAGCCAATGCTTTTGGAATAGGCTATTTAGGCGAACGTCGGTGTATTGTTTGCAATGTATCCTGTATATAAGGAGAACTCGGGACCTAATGTTAAACGACGGACGCCTTGATAACCAGGCCACTGAAATTTGTGAAACCTAACGAATTTTTCCGATGAGCTATTTTCATCTTAAAACACCGCCCTTAGGTCGCATTCTTATTAGGCATCTTCAACACAGGGTTTCCAAGCTTATATGGTTTATTAGGCTCATGTCATACACGTACTATTTAGCACTTGTTCCCGTTGGGCGGAAGTATATTCGTATTTGACCAATCAACAGTACCGTCTTGGTCACGTTGCATCAAGTCGTAGTCTTTATGATTATTTTGCTGTCATCAGCAAGTAGCACGAAATTCCACCCAGTGAACAATTGCGTTCGTTACGGAAGATCAATACTTTTTATATCCCCAGTACTGCTCCTTTTTGGGAACTACATTTCACCAACATCAAGTCTGAAAATGAGTCCTAAACTCGCACCAGCAGTTACAGCTAAAGAAGCAAATTTGCGGTTTCTTCAAAAACAGGGTTTACACATCAATAGATTTGTAGTTAATAATGTGGCGCGCGGTGATCCAGAGGGTCGTTGGTTTTGATTGACGTTATCGCAACCTAGCAGAAAGCCTTTACGAGTAGTCAGTAATAGTCTTCCTGATAGTTTGGTGGCTGCATTTAGCAATAAATATGAAGTAAAGAGACAATGGTTTATATCGTTCTTTAATTTCACAATCAAATTCTAGGTGATAACGGATGTCGAAGAAGTTACGATTCGCAATATTCCATGTGCTGTACTATCCTGTTTAATTTGAGGAAATAAGCTTTTCCAAAGTGGAGGGAATTGACCTCAAGTCTGGGGTAATTAAACACCAACACCGCGGTTTATCTTGTAAGTAGCCTGACTGACCAGCCAGTCTAACCAGATATTTTACGTGTTTGCTTAATTCGCCCAACCAGTCTTCACTGGACGCGGAAGTATGCTGTTTCAGTTCCAAACTTTTGCTGCTGTTATAGAGAAATCATTGTACTCTGATCAGTTCATGGCTGTTGAATCTTGACTTGCAGTCTCAAAAAATAGTGCTTGTCAAATCAACGCTCGGCGTCAAAAACAGTAGCCGGCTAATAATTGAGGTGACACAGTGCACAACACGTTAGGTGGGCACTGTTGGATTTTACCATCAGAAGCATCTTCATGCGGAGCCTTAGCGGCACCTGAATAGTTGTTATTCATACTCATTAAAGGGCCCCTGTAATATGATTCAATAACCCTAGGTATACAAGTACTAACTCTGTTGTTACACAGTTAAGCCATCGATCAAATTGTAAGTGTAGTCAACTGCAGCAGCGCTTGATACAAAAACTCGTGACGGGGTGCACCGGGGTTAACTCACGACAACATATATTTGGAGGATCAGCACTGCGAAACTAGAGAAAATATGACATATCCTTTATGCCAAATCTCATTAACTCCGCAGGCTATATTCACCTCAGTAGCACCTCGCTGTAGTCAGTATTACTAATGAATATTATCGCCGACTTCTTTCCATTTGATCCGTGGAAAACTTGTGTGTGCAATGGCATGTAAAGAAAACCAAGAATACAATTGTTAGGCATATCCTGGAGCATAAGCATGGAGTTCTCACTTTCCCAGTACTAGCCGGTTATAAGCTCATGTTACGGGCACTGAATGCGTTCAAATGGGAAGGTCTTCAGTTAGCGTAGTTGTCGGAATTGTAAGTGTATGCTAGAATTTCTTCTGTTGTCTTTTAGAATTTGGATATGCTTCCCCCTTCCCCTTTTTAAATAATATATTATAATGCGTTTTCAGAGTAGAATCAAAGACATTTTATTTTGATACGTTTAACTACATTATACAGCATGACGATGGTATATACTACTTGAAGCAGGCCTATGGCACTTTTCGCCAAAAGTTAGGAATGTATGAAAAATGGCGGAAGTGGGGGCTATTTGTAAGACAATTTTGTTGCTCGGCATCGCGAGTAGTTAAGTCTAAAAGTGAGCAGCAATATTATTTTGGTTCACACAGTAGCCTATGTTTTATTTGCAGTAAAAATTTATGTGGTATTCTGTCCCTCGGTCTTAGCTATGGTCAAAGAATTGGCTTGCTTGAACATGTTGGTCACTGGAGTGAACTGACTAACACACACGTCCATTCACTGTGCCTGCTACTTAAACGATGCCGTTGGAGTTTGGAAAATTGCACAACATCCTTCCAAGACACCGTGGTCAACTCTGTTGCCTCATCTCTCGAATCATGTAAGTTGTTTATTGCCAGAACAGCACTAGGATACTACCACAAATCAGTCTATAAATTATTGTTTGATCGAATAGTGGAGGTAGTGTCTGCTGACATCGAATGTCTCATCAGTCTCTTGGTACTGTCGGTTTATGGTTTAAAGTATCAAAGCCTGCTTTGCACTACGAGGGCGCTGGTTCGAGCCTGCCTATGGGACCGGGCGACTCTCGCCGTATCCATAGCTCACACGCGACTGTTGGTGGTTGTGTGGCAGCGAAGCGTCGGTGCTGCGTACCAGTGTACTGCGGATACTTTCCTTTTAATGTCATGACACACAAAACAATCAGGAAATGAATGTGCTGCCAGAGTAAGGTGGTCAAGAGTTCAAGAAGCAATTCAACTTTGATTCTCACTGCACAGATAAACAGCGATGTAACACATTGATTATGTCACTAATGAAAAATAATGATCCAAACTGTTCTGGGGTAAAATACTAAGGTTTCAATTTAACTGCAAAAGAGCTGTCCATTATCTGCTTCAACTATATTTTTGAGTTCCCCTTGAGAGACAACCTATTTAACTGTATTAACAGTGATCTTGGCTTTCCTGTACCCAATAAAATGGGTGATGATGCAGGCTGGCATGGGTTTACCTCAACGGCCAGGGATTCGCTGGTCCATCAGATTCTTGGATAGGCCAAAAACCATGAAGTAATCTCATAATGAGTAATGTTCTTATCCACATTTTCGAGTATGACCGAACAACTTTGTTAGACAATTACATATTCGAATGAAATCGTGGAACACTACCTAATTTGCTTGATCATAATAACTACTCTTTCAGCAACCGCCGATGATTTGGACGGCAATTTTCGTTAGTTGATCTTTGATCATGAAACCAACTGCACTGATAAATAAAAGGTGACAACAGTGAAGTGCCGGTACGCAGTACCGGCACTTCACTGTCGCGTAACAACGAACAGTCACTCGTCCGTTACAGATACTGAGAAGATTGCCTCGTTCCATGCACCATCTGGAACTTGCACTCTGGAATTACGAGGCAGGCTTATGATCTTTTCCTACGGGCTGAGTAATGAACCATGTACTTGATTTCGATTGGCAATGGACTGGTAGAACCGCTCACTGAGGGCCACGCTGAAAGGAAAATGATTCCGTTGCGAATGGCTGGTCATCGCGAAGTCAGACCAGGGGGTATCGCCTTAGCTGACAATTTGAATCATATTGACTATATAAAATTGCAGTACAAGAAAAATGGATAAATTTGTTTACAACCGTAATAATCACAATACTTAAGTGAAAATCGGACTCAAAGTGTCAATCCACCAACCACTCCTCGTTTTACATCAATGCATGTAATCATAGCAACGGAAAGTCATTCGCTCTAATATTTTGCCGAGAGACTGGAAGATTAAACTATGCGCCATTTGTTTTTTTCACATCAAAGGATTGCACAACCCAAATTAACGGAGAGTGTTTGACAATTTATATAGGTAACCGGTAATGTTTTCCATAATTCCACCAAGTAGGATGCACTTAACTGGACTGTTTTGCTTTTCGTCTGCAAAACCCGAGGAAGCTTTGACAACGGTTAAAAACAATCAGATCAGTTTACAATAAACATCAGAACAAATTTTAGTGAACAAGCTGGTTTTCTGTGGTTCCTCATCAGGCTAATACACCACAAATGAATGACATGAACGTAAACATCAGCTAAGGGTGCAGTTTCAAAACCCAGATGGTCTGAGTGACCAAGCTAGGTGATTGGCCCCACGACGATCAACAGTTGGTTTGTGTGTGTGTGTGTGTGTGCGGCGTTGTCCACCCTGTTTCCGTGTTACAGGGGACCAGGGTAGAGTTAGTGCCTTGAAAAATTTCTTGTGCGCACATATGTCAGGGTCATGAAGCCTGATTGCTCTTGCCTCGGCCGCTGCCAGTAGACGACATCTAACCGCTCTTGTGTGGCATCTGGGTACGCGGTAGATGGGCTGGAAGGCGTCATGCGCTTTGACCTGGTGGATCGAGTCGATCAGGTGTGTAGACACTGTGCTTGCCACTGATCTAGTCACGCCGCTATACAGCCAAGCTGAACAGTGTTCCCTGGCTGTCTCGGACAGTCTCCTGGTAGTTCTTCTGATATAACTTGATCGACACGAGCAAGAGGAAGAGTATACTCGTGTCAATCAAGATATATCGGAAGAACTACCAGGAGCCTCTCCGAGAGAACCAGGGGACACTGTCCAGCTTGGCTGTGACTAGATCAGTGTCAAGCGCAGTGTTGATCGCCGTGGGGTCAATCACCTAGCTTGCTCACTCAGACCATCTGGGTTTTGAACCTGCACCCTTACCTGATGTTTATGTTCATGTCATTCATTTGTGGTGCATTAGCCTAATGAGGAACCGATGAAAACGAGCTTATTCGCTAACATTTGGTCTGAAGTCTACTCCCGGGATATTTTATCGGTTTACAGTAAATTATCTAAAAGTTACAATCCCATACTTTTTTGTTCTACTGTGCTTATCATGCTCGTATATGTGCTTAATAATAATAGTGAAAAGGTATGGAATTTCAACCCCGATTAGATTTCGATGGAATCATATCTTATAGAAAGGACGAAACTTAAATTCGAAAACCGATATGTAATTACATTCCTGCTATCTTCGCCACATTATTTCAATCAAGCTTACCGATTGAAAATGATAAAATTACAACTTTATCAGCGTGTTTAGGGCTTCTCGGTGGATTGAATTACACTTTTTTAGATCGCAATCAGTGCTTAACGCTTTGCATCTTAACTAACTGTAAGTACTCTGTAAGACACTCCTAGTGTGAAGGAATTACAACAAGTAATCGGAAGATTGGCAGCCATTCATTTCGGTGTTCGTGCTGCGCACTGTTTTGTTGACACTGTCCTTAGGTGTTTTACTGTTTTAAATACATTTTGCAGCTACAAAATAGGCTATACCAACAAGTATAAGCAATTATGGACTACTTTTCGGCAGCTTGAACATCTTGCTTACAAACTACACTGTTTCAGGTTTGCGGTATTTATTACAATAGAAACCAATGCAAATCACACAGCTGGAGATAATTGATGAAATTTATGTTTCTCGTAATTGGATATTATCTTTTAGCCACATTTTGGCCAAGACGAATGCTGATCACTATAGTTTGCAGTAGTAGAGGTGTCAAGCCAAATAGTGGCTTTTGAAAATTAAAATTTCTGCAGAGTAGGTTTGGACTGTTTAACACATGCTGAACACAGTTTTCAGAAAGTAAGGAAATATAGGTTATATACTACCGTACAAGTCGAATCAAATCATGTCAAAAATGTTTGCTATAGTTACAGAAAATCTTCTCCTTAAGCCCAATAGATCAAATTGGAAAATATGAGCCAACTGTTTAGGGGAAATATAACTAATGTAGCCCTCATCGTACAACCTCGGTTTGTTGCACGAAGAAAGTTGTAAACACCAGTTTTCTTTTAGTGAATGCCCGTAGCAAACTCCAGCTTTTCATACTCCACAATCAGTACCATATTGAACCTAGCTACCAAAGACAGTATGTGGTGCAATCTACATGTAATTCTCAGGGTAGCTGCCTTTATGTCAGCGGAAGTCCACAACTCGCGTGCAAGTGTACATATTCACACATGCAAATAGAAACTGCTGCCTAGTTGAGACAGAATAACTAAGAGATAAGGGAATTGGGATCTGACTTATTCTAAGCCAACAGTAGGTAGGGCGTGCAAGTGGTTGGATGATAAGTTTGGAATAAGTACTACCGTACAAGAGACAAACTTTTGCATAATTGCACAATATCGAATACTATAAGTAGACAGAACCCATTTTCGGGATGTATAAATTATTTTCTGCGTGTAGCACATCGGTAAAACGTTCTATTCCAGAGTGATACTTAATATGAAAATAAAATCCTGGAAGTGGAATTCTAGGCACCTCTGGAATGCAGACGCTTGATTCACCAGGATTTCAGTCACTTGCAAATTGTACCCAGATCACACCACTAGACAATCAAATGATAGAGATCAAGCCATCTACTTCAAATGCGGTAGTACAAGCTCGTGTTCTTACTCGCGCGTATCGCCTTGGTGTGCGCATGTGGGGGAGCAACCTGAGCATAGAAATTGTTGATAGGAAAACGTTTATAGCCCTTGTCCTCCTCATCGGTCACCGTACGGTCTGCCTTATAAAATAGGGATACGCCTGGCAACTACACGCCGAACCGGTACAAATCCTTGTATCCAGTGCGGGATGACTGAACCAAAGGCTAGTGCGCCATGTTCTAGCCCTAGTATTATGACGAGAAAGAGTATGCAACTAGTAACTTTATCTGACCAAGTGCAGAAATATATTTTAACACATACTGCATGAGTAGTCCGCCTCGGTGTCTCCTGTTGTACTTGTCCACCAACTCAAAATGGAAAGAGTATAATACTCCTATGTATTGTAGATAACGTGTGGATGAATGACTTACCGATCAGCGAATTTATGCTTTCATAACCACACTTTCTCAGGTTAATAAACAACTACTTGACGGAGTTGACCAGCAGGCGGATCAGACCAGAAGCCCCATAGAGACGCGGTCTGGGTCATTTCAGAACGCTCGGTAGATGACCGGTTGATATATTTATGTGAATACACAACGTTGCGCTTTTGTCACACAAGCTTTTTCAGTCGAAATTAATTAGCTTAACATTGGTATGTTATAACAATCCCGATGACCTCCCGATCGGTTCCAAATATGTTCCGAAATATCGAGGCGGCCTAGGTTACGCTGGATCACGTCGCAATAGTCAGACGAGTTAACTTCCTTTCAAACCTTCAGGCCTTGCGCAAACAAGGAATAAGATGGCCGAATAAGTAGATAATTAATGATATTCATCCAGAAAAATGGTCCCTAAGACTGTGCTTTTGGATGTGCAACTATTAATGGGATGCTATTATCGAGATTACGATCTGTTTGTGGCCTTCAGTCTTGTGTAACGTGGCGATCGTTGGTTTCACTAGAGTAGTGAGCCACCAACTTCACCATTCTTAAATTACGCAGTAGGGCCTTATGGCTCAAACTGTCAAACTTCATTCTAAAATTGACGTAGATAACGTCGAGTATTTTTTCGATTTTCGAGCAGATTGTTGGAGTATGATTAGTATTTCTCAAAACCAAACTGTATTGCTATCAAGAAGTCGTGTTACATATTTGTCTGTAACAGACTCTTATTCATGATCTCCTTGAGTGTACTGGCCAAAACGGAGGTTAGCGGATCTGGCTGGTAACATTCTACTTTACTTGTTACACAATTATATAAAATGAATCTTTTGATCACGACATTTTAACGGAAGATGAGATGTTGGCAGATATGGATTGAGAAATAGCGACTAAATTCCTTTCATACGATCATACTTATTGTGGTCAAGTATGAGGAGTCACCCTTCAATACCGTAATCCCGACTGTTGAATTCTGTGAATGCGCTGAAGGTGGCTACGATGCACATGCCGTACCAAGTAGTGTTGCGTCATGGTCCATGTTGTGCTTCAAGGGTGCCAGCAATGCGTTTTGTTTCTTGTCTAGTGCGTAAATTTACTCTGGTATCTCTGCCCTCGAACATTTACCCTAGGGTACTGTGAGTTCATTATGTTTATTTTGCCTCGGAGAATATCCAGTATATGCGTATTCGGATAAATCTACCACTAGTTTTCTCACCATTTAATCTGCCAGCATACTCCAGGATCCCCAAATGTTGCCATTCGTTTTCGAATAACTAATTGCTGATACTAATTTAACGGTCCCAGCAACTTAGATGCACTAGGTTGTGTTGCATTAAAATTGTATACAATAGATTTGTTGGATAGAGCAGTAGGTGTTTGGCGCCGACCCTGATGTTCAGTGCATTTTTAACAGCTCGGTGCTTGTATACAAGATTGTTTGTACTGGCGGCGGACCTGTAGGAATTTGTGCACTATAGTCTCCTACCTTTAGCGTCGGAAAAGATGGAGAATCTTATACTGTTTTGGGAACGTGGAACGCAACATACAATAGCAAGCTAGATCTCAACTTAACCTCAAATTTAATCAGTCAGTCCCATTCTAGCACCCAGATAAAATTAGTCGACATTCTCGAAAACTCTTTCGCTGCAGAATTTAAGCGGATGACATACAAACCGTCTATATAAAAAGCAGTTGTGCAACCAATTTTCATATGCATATGACTTATATTACTGCATTCGCAACATTGTTCTTATACTGCAATGCTACTCTGCTACTTTGTAACGTACACACGCCATTTGGTGGATAGCAAGAGATACTATAGTAGCAGGTTCTTGGGCAAGATATTTCGCATCTGCAACTGCTCAACACAGGAAACTCTCATATATATATATATACACTAATTCTGGCCGCGGATCAGGGGCAAGTTGCGTAATTGGCCACCCGAGATCTTTGGGAATTGTGTTTTTCCTAATCTTAACGAAGCCAAGTGCGTACCATTGTAATCAAACTTGCTCAAACTGAGCTCAACTATTTCAACGTTGCTAATGTCGTCTGTCCAACAGCTGACCTAAGTTACCAGATTAATATTTCAACATTAGAAGCGCCATCATCAATTCTTAACATAAAACACATTCAAATTTATGCCTTGGTCTCGATTCCAAAATGAGACAGATTCAGTAAAACTGCCTTTTACTTGTGAAGCTGCCGTAAATATTTCCAATGGTTGTCATCAGTATCGACAATACAGTTTTGGATGCCTGAACCTAGAAAGACATGAATATTAGGAACTTCAAAGAAATCATCTTATGGTCTAACTTCCCAGTGCAAATTAGATCGATTAACCGCAGAATAATCTCAACCGTAACTGTCGTTTTTCTGTGGCGGTCGGATTATTCGATGAGCCTGATAATTTTGTTGCAGATGTTTCAGGACCAATCGAGCTCAACTCATCAGTGCGTTGTTGAATGGCGTGTAGTAAATAATGCAACGTAGCCTAAGGAATCATTGATGATAGTGCGTCTGGCAGTGTGTGCGTTACTACCTGTTACCGTGTTTGGTCGCGTAGACTAGCAAATCCATTCGCTTGGACTTCTTTTCGTACTCTGGTTGTTGGACAGATAAGTGACCTTTGAACTTCAAGCCTCCGACAAGTGCACCATTATCTTTACCTAGTTACTCTTGTGTTCAAGTTTGTCGTAAGTTCCATCTTATGTTGAATGCATTTCAGCCATTTTATTGGAATGCGCACCAAGCGGTTTGTAAAACAAAGGCCACACTAACACTTGAGAATGTTTATTCCAATTTTCTCTTCTTTGTTACCAATGCGATTTCTGCAAACGACGTTTTTCCATTGGTTAGGTTTCAGTCATGGTTTTGACTGGTTTGCGGCAACGGTCTTTCTAATTTCCAAAGGCAACCTGGATTCGACATGGCAATTTTTGAGCCGATTTGCACGTGACATACGCTCAGTTTACTTGTGGCCAATCCGTGGGAGGTTGTTGGTACGTTTTGTTGATATAATGTGATCTTGCTTTCGCTAGAACACAGGGTTCCGAAGAGCACTCTTTTCGATAAAACTCATCAAGCCTTTACGATCATAAAATGGAAAGTTGAAGCAAGATGGGCGGGTGAAGCGCGATAAGGATTAGCGAATCAGAGCGAGGCAGAAATTGAGCTGCCTTCATCGATAAATCGGTTGATCTACTCAAACAACGGTTACCACAGTATACCTAGTCAGACATAGACACACACTCGCAGGCTCACGAGACGTTGGACGTGCTTTTCAACTGGTTGGGTGAACCATCCGGTGGTTGTCAGCGTGTGGAGCGGAAACACTTTGGAAGTGTGTTAACCCCATGGCCGAGGAAGCGGTTGAATAAATGCCCTCTGCTTGCATATTTCATGTTGTCTAAGCCTGCTCGCAATGGCTTCGGCCGTCTGTAACATTCGTTTCCTAAGCCCCTTGAGGTAGCTTTTTGGCACGCATCAGTAGCCTTGATTGGATGTCTAATTTCGACCAGATGTTCTAGAATAGTACTGCTGATGCAACCGACAGTACATTCTTGCAATGCCGTGAGAGAGTGCTCCGATATCCGTTTAGACATACGCCTAGTCGGATATCCGACGTACCTCACACTACAGGTGTTTGCTTCCTTAACTGTTTCCCAATAATGGATTTAGAACTTTTGTTACCTTAGGTGCTTCTTGTGCTCAGCAATTAAGTAAGAGTATGAGTTTATATACGGGTAACTTCATTCCTATATACCTAATTGTATTCTAATCCTTCATGAGAAGTACTTTCAAAGAGCTCCTTGTTTGCCTAGAATGTCATGCGCTTACCTGTGGTGACTTGTTGTGCTTCCACTCAAAGGCTCGGATATATCTGCAGCCTAATCGGTCGAGTTCGCTATGCATTTCATGTGTTTACCGCTATTGCAGACTAACGACATTTTTTATGATATCATTGACTTAAGAAGGAACCACAATTCGGCTGGCTCATTCTTCCGGAAATGTGAGTAGAACCTCGTATCGAAGCACCACGAAAAGATAAAAATCTCGGGGTGAATTGTCCGAATATTCATAGCATCTACCTATCACCAAGTATCCACTAATATAACATGTTCTACTTCGAAACAGTCTACAATGGTCCACAATCCTGTAGAATTATTAGAAATAAAACGGCCTCAATTCTTCAATTTAGTGTACACCTTTGGTTTTGGCCGTTTATATGTAAGAAAATTTGAGTTTTGATAGTGACGTAATCCCAATTCGCTGAACTCACTCTCAATCAATGATTATTTGATTTATTAACTGCTTTATAAACTATTTTATCTATTGGTACACCGCTGTTACATTTTCCTTTCTTTTCCCACCCATGTTTCATTAGTTTGGCAAACGCAGTGCAAATAGTTCCCTGACTCCGTTTATCACAAACTCCTGCCACTTTCTAAATCATATCGTGGCCTTGGAGTGTCCCACGTTGTACAATACCTTCCAGATGGTTCAACTCTGTCCGTCACAGGTGAGTAAAGGACTAAATATTGGCTTCTTTCTCCTTGTAATTGTAGTCAATCATGCTTTAGATTCTGATTTGGGTATTTACATTCAATCAGAAGTAGAAATACTGGAGTGGAGGGCTTTAAGTTCATGCAACTGATGTTGGTCCTAACTATGAATGCGTTGTATCGTTAGCATTATTTATGCGAGAGTATGGATTCGTTTTGTAGCGAGGGACATTAGGCTCTCCAGATAATCCTCAAGTTCTGTAACGAAAATATTAGCCTCTCACTAAGATCAAAAACACCGCATGGATAAACCCTTAGATTTCTCTTGGCTAAGCTTTAGAAGTTATTAAACCACATCCAGTACTCTTTGTGGTCAACAAACAGTCCCTTTCATAAAAGGCATTTGGTTAAGTCGATATGCATCTCGACAACTTAGGATCGGATTTTCAGTAATGGAAAATGAAATGTATTTTACTATACCACTTTGTTTAACTTAGTAGCATAAAATCCGTCGGTAAAGCAGTGTAGTTCATTCCGTTGGATCCTTGCTCGTTGCTGATATTAGATCAAATGTGAATGGTTGCGAAGTTGTAACGTTCATCCATACAACTGTTTATCCAACTAGTTCGGTGATGTCAACTCGTAGTCATAGCATGTCCCATTCATGTGGCGAAGCGCCGTTGATGTCTGCGTGATGCAGCGTACGGTCGCTTGTGACGCAGGCTTTGTGACCAGACAGAAAATAATTTGAACGTAGAGCAAAAAGAAAAGGTGTTCAAAATTACGATAAGTTGACCATCTCTTAGGTTGCTGTTTGCAATAAACACCGACTGTGCTACGGCAGGTGACTGATTTAAAAGAAAATCCTTAGTTTACACTTAAATCTACATTTGTAAGTCATCGTAGCAATCCGGAGTACTTCAACTACTTATGGTATTGCTTGCACGAAAGACGGTGAAACACTTTTGTTTTTCCCCACTCAAACTACTGGGGGTTATTTGCACGATACTATTCCGTTTATTTACCCAGGATTATACATACGTATCACCAGCAATTTGCGTTTAATACAGAGAACAATGATAAGACAAAATATACGGGATTCTACAATACCATATGAAATGAATCAGTTGACTTGATTCTGTCTGTTGTTGTTAACGGAGACTCTGCAAAACTTCACAGGTGTGTGCAAGTCGATTTTCTGACTAAACGCATGATGTGCCTCTATTTCCTTCATCCAGTGGCTGAACGTCCAGAATCTCGCAGAAAAAAGTGGTGAACAAAAGGTCGAACAAAAGCATGCGATAACATGGATTGACTTTTCTTTAAGTGATGACCTGTTACGGCATGCTAAAGTGGATAGCACAGCGCGAAGTTTCATTAGTAGCATCCATACTCTATGGGGCTAGCAGCAGAGTATTTCAATACCTTAACAAATGGAGAATACTTGAGAACCGCAGATACATGTGCACTTGGATTAGACACTGATTCAGCACGCGTCAAGCGGCCTCCAAAAGAGGGTTAAGTGCTCAATGTGTGGAACGGTTTGTAGTCGTAGCAGATCCATTTGCGTGATGGGATTTTGGTTAATCATCATTCGATATTGAGCGGCGTTGCATCACATCTAGGAACTTAGTGAAAGGGGTCGGCACTGTCCCCTGTGGCTCAGTGATCTCAATCATAGGCTGGCAATAATCGAAATGCGGGTTAGATTCTCACAGGAGTCAGATAGAATGCACACTGTTGACGATTCCGGAAAACAGGAAACGGCCGTACAGTGCTTGTCCGAGCATTTGACGCTTGGACTATTCTCGATGTGTTGAATACCTACTTATACCATACAACCCTCCCTAGTACTATTTTGTAATGTTTTAAAATGAATAACTTAGGAAGCCGGATAGTAGAAAATGGGTGTTGATATTAGTCACGCTGAGCAACGGTGTTCCTTACCCTTCCGCCAGTGTGAGATAGCATAGGCTGATTACAAAGTCAACCGAGGCCAGAATTGTGATATCGTGTCGCAACCCAAGACACACGTCCGTTGCTTCAAAACCCTGAAATCAACTATAATAGTATTATTGAAGACTACGGCAGCAAATGTAGATTCGGCTAAATGATTGCCTAAGTGATGCTTTTGACAACGCGATCGATCTCCATCCCGTTATCAATCCTCTTAGTATACTCTGTAAAAAATCATTTTTGTACATGGATTGCAGCAACTGAAAATATTTTGTTTTATGGCGGCGTGCTACACTAGATAAATGTTGTTTATATTGCCCGCGAGTAGCAGGATTTTAGTTGTAATTTAGGTAAGATTTTCATCCCGATATTTATTTGAGCCGAAAATGGTTGTTTCATCATCTTTAATACAAAAGTACCGCCTTAGTGATTATCTATTTTCGTACTAAGCCGGATTTATTCGGGAAGTGACATTGTTGTCTTGTCTGGCTGACAATGCTTTGGTCTTATAAGGCATATTATGCAACGCTATTGATTCGGTTACGAAGCTTGAAAGGACTCAGGGTATCTTATTCACTATAGATCAACCATCTTCTTGGATCTGATAATTCTGCCCTACGCTGTTGCAGCATTAGCTTAATGGAGGAAGTGCATTCATCCTTGCCCTTAGCATGTAGCGTTTATTACATGATCTCCCGAACTGAGAATACTTCTATTAGTCATCCTGTTTTCCACAATCTGGCTTTTCTGAGAAATGGTTGGACGAACTGACAACTAGTTTTCATATGTACGGTAAAACGCCAAGCTTCTTTTGAGCCGGCTGTTCCGCTGGCGCTCCATTGTAACATGTCTTAGATAGGGTGTTCTGATCAACACAAGTCACTAGTTTGAACATTATTATAACCTCCTGTAAAAACCTTTTCCTTTTTCCATGCGCAATACTCTTGCTGATCACAACTCCCCATCCCAATTTATTATGTTTCCGGTATATTTAGATTTTTATGCGGTGGGTCAACCAGTGCTTTTGGAATTATCTAAATTGGTGCGACATCGTGGATTACATAATCACCTGTCTGCTGCATCCTGCTGGATATCAGATCTACTTTACTGTTAGCATTCTTCGGCATTTACATAAAACGATCGCGAAATGCAAACTGGAGCGTCCGACAGAACAAGAACAGCAGCCGGAACAGTTGATTGTATTCCTTCAAGTATGTATCTGGGAAGGTTTTAACATATCTGGGGAGAAACGGTGGTGTCCGTAATATTTACAAGTGACGCATTCGAGCAACCAGATCGTTTTGATTTGCTTTTTCTTAGGACCGTTGTTTATTTTTAGCACATCATTGCGGACATTTTTCTAATCGCGGTTCTTTTGTAGGAAGCAAGTTAGCTCTTGATCCGATGGCACATGTATTCATGTACACTAGTACTTCTAGTACGAAGCGGAACTATTGCGCATCATTGATTGCTTATAACTGGCTGGCCAGAATTGAATCCCGAATGGTTGTAAGTTTCCTTTAGTCTATACATACGAATATTGATTAACAACGCCAAAAATTATCAGCCAAAAATGGGTCATGTTTACTATGGTCCCGGTTTAGAACAATAAAGATACAAAATAACTTTCCATTTCAGCTGAAAACAGAAGTTAGGCACTCAGAAAAGTACATAGGCAGCGGGACAGTCACGATAGCACACTACGCTGACCGAATAAAATAAGAGCTATCTGTAACCATTGACTTTTTGAGAATCTTGAACTTTATTATTCAGAAGCCGGTCTGTAATTGATTAAAAGCACTCGTATGCATAGAAATCTGGTAAATTCTAGTACATACCATTTTTAGGAAAATCACAGTTTCACTTAAACATCGTACCTCTGATGTTTTTCTCAGTATAAGACACTGGAGTCACAATGCGGTTTGAGAAAACTCATTACCGTCTGTCCCCCCTTAGCAGAGTTGGAAGTAACTTACAAGACGGTATAGGATTTCAACTTTTGATTAGATTTAGTAGCTGCTTTGAAGCAACAACGCGCTCATGAATGAAAAAACTGTTTCGAATAGTTTGCATTTGAAACGGTGACTATCGGTTCTTCTGGCTGACGCAGGGGCATTCAGAAGGAGATCGCATGGCATATCTACTCTTTAGATCCCGCAGAAATATGATACGTCTTTGTTGTAGCAAGAAAGCAACGAAAATAGTAGAACGTGCATCTCTACCCAAGCAGGTGCTAACCTACTCAACACAAAGAGTGATCAGTTTTAACTGTGTGGATTTGTCACAACCAATGACAAGAGAGTGGTTGTGGTTCAGCCAGCCAGGGAAACCTGAGCCGAGACATGGTGATGAATCGGCCACAACAGAATATTTGCGTGTGCTCCTTCTTGGTATTCATGTGGCAAGGCAGTTCCGATAGTTACGTGTAGTAACTAGATTTTCCGAATTGAATGGTCATTGCTTTGCCGTTTGCTTTCTTTAGTATTACTCTTGACAACACTTCCCACGGAGGTCAGATAAATGTCACTTTGTGCTGTGCGTGACTTCCTACTCACTAGTAGTTGAACAGCGAAACTGTGCGTCGGCTTGGGAATTGGCTCAGAACTATAGGGGGAATGAAATCGGTCATCCTCAGCATCAGCATCAGCAACATCAAAAGCACCACGTCATCAGCCTCATCATCCTCATCATCATCCTCGTCATTCTCATCATCTACGTCATCATTCTCCTCCACCTCCTCCTCCTTCTCATCATCATCATCTTCATCACCATCTTCATGATCATCATCGTTGCTAAGTCCAAAAGTAACGTTGTTGTATCCCCAACCTGGACTGCTTACTTGAGGACACGAGATCTCTAGGCTTCTATTGTTCCGCTGATTTCACATTGAATTACTCTGTGTGCTACAATCAGTTTCCATATAGTATATTTATTCCTTTCACTCGATCACTGACATATTCCTGACCTTTTAAGTTCATTTCTGTTATTATGTTACTGTGACACTGCCCAAATACTCGCACGCCGCCGCACGCTCTACAATTTATTCGCACGCACTACGATTATATAGCCCATTCTTAAGTCATGTACTGTATTTAATATGTCTTCTAGCACCACGGTTAGAGGATGATTTGTTTTAGCCTTCAGCCCTGACTGTGCGTTAAAGTTAGGTTTATTTATTCGTAGTTTCTAGTTTAGTTTTTGTACGAGGTACTTGGTTTAGGCTTCGTATCGTTGGTACAATCATCATCCTCATCATCATCATCATCATCACCACCATCATCATCATCATCATCATCATCATCAACATCACCACCACCACCATCATCATCATCATGGTAAAAATGCACATTAGCCGTGGGCGAGAAACACCACAGCTATAGTGTCACAATATAAATATGTAAAACATTAAGTGATGTAGACTTAAAACCTATAAAAGGATACATAATGCTAAAAGTACTTTTCTGGTGGTCGTTGGAGGGGAGCCAAATGGAAACGGAGGGACAAGGAGGCTCACAACACAAATGCATCGGACCTCGGCTGTTCATCTTATCAGCTAGCGTATCCAACCAAACGTGTTCATCGTCTTTCCTTCCCCAAACATGCAGTCGGGCAACACCAACCGGTGCCAACTTTGAAGCTAGAGACTTAATTCCTTTGGACCAGGACATCGATTGGTATCCCCTCGTCCTCATCCATTCACACCCTTTGGTTCGCAAACAACACACGTCGCGGGAGTCGTTGGGCTGGCATGCGCAAAACGTGGCCTAGCCATCGTAGCCTGCTGCGTGATACAATGGTGCTGAGCAGTTCACTTGCTCACCTTGCAACAACTACGGGACACAGAGCACGCTCAGGATTGACAAGCTTCTGACGGGGTTGTGTGGAATTCTGTATCGTATGCTCTGCTCTTCCGAACTAGAATAATGTCACGCCAGGGTCACAGATGATGCATATTAGCAAAATCGCACCGAGCTTTTGCTACACGCTTCGAGATCTCATCTTTCGTTCCTCTGGCACTAATATAACTGCCTAGATCTTTGAAGTTCCCGACGACTTCTAAATAATCACCGCCAAGAGTCAGTAGGGGGTCCCTACCAATCTTGGAGAACTGTGCATTTCGATGGTGCAAAGCACAGCCCGTAATTTTGACAACCAGACCAAATTTATCCAATGCAACATCGCACGATAGGGGCTGTCACTGATGAGCGCAAAGTCGTCGGCTTACTCCGTGTCGAGAAGTCGTTCACCAGGAAGCAGCTCCAAACCTTCTAACTTGTGCCCGGTGGACCCCGTTTCTATAACTTCGTCAACGGCGAATTTAAAGAGGAAAGGTGACAATGGGTAACCTTCTCTCACACCGCTGGAGATATTGCAGGGCGGCGACAGCTTACCGTAAACTCGCACCCTGCCCGAGCCACGAGCGTACAGCGCTCGGATAATGTTTCCGTATTTCTAGGGCATACCTTTCCTAAATAGACAGTCTCAAAGGGTACATCGATCAAAGGAAACGTAGGCCCCTGTGCTATTTAGGAACACGACTACGCCGGGTCGCCAATAAATACGGCGCTGCTCCAAATACTGATGTAATGTGGATGTGATCAATGCAGCCTGGATTTCGAAACCCGGCTTGCACCTTGTGCATCTGGATTTCAGGAGTGCCACTCAGTTTATGGAAGAAGAACGACACAAGTAACTTAGTGGCATTTGAGATCATACGGATTCCTCTATGTCTGCAGCCTTCCGAACAGGAGCCTCCTTTGAAAACTGGAAATATTGCCTATCGTACCCAGTCTGACGGGACAGTCTCTGCTTCCATGGATCCACTAGTAAGGTATGTAGATTTTCCAAAAGAGCAGCTCCCCTAAATTTGAAAAGCGCTGCATTGATTCCATCTACTCCGACAGCCTTGTTCAATTTCATCCATCTAATCTCACATTCGATTTCTGCTCTTGAGGGCGGATCCGTGGTGACAGCCCAGGGATTAAAGGGCTCATTGGCTGACGGCAAATCTGGCAACGCTGCTTGATTGAACTGCTTCTCAAACTGTCCGGCCAAACGCGCCAAGCTCATTGATAAGCTGTAGATCTGCTGTCCACTATCGTCATGTATCTTTTTGCTAACATCAGGTTTCCTGCTACCCCTTTCTCGTATGAAACGGAATAACTGCCAATGGTTATCAAGGGCAGCTTCTGTTTTCATCCCCAAAACACGATGAGACCATCGGGACTCGCGCTCTTTTTTCAGGCTAGCACATATTTTCGCCCTAATTATTTTGAGAATCTCATTGTGCTCAATATCAGTCAAAACACTTCGGCGAGCATCCATAAGTTTAAGTGGGTGTGTAAAGATACACTGTCCAGGTTGGCAATTTGATTTACCACACAGACATCTGCTATTGTAACGTCTGGTGGACACGCGACCAATGATTTTCAACTGTGTTCGATGAGCTGAGAAGCCAACCTACCTTGATACGCATTCTAAACGTCTAGCGTCGCCATCTGGTAAATATCCATGCGTTCACAGGGTTGTTGCAGATGTCCACCGAATCACACCCGGAGGTCGGCGCAAACAATTGCGTGATCAGAATCCACATTCACATACCAAATCCAGCAACAGTTTTGAAGGCACCATGTCCAGCGATAACTGCTCACAATGTGGTTGCTTTGGTTCCATGGCTGGTCCGAGCCTGGTGGCCGCCACGTCACCCACCGTCGGGTTCTATATCGGATGTTACTACTCGCAAGAAAGCGACGAGCATCATCACAGAAGTGTAGCGACGGACCGCCGTTATCTTTACAATAGCCCACATCGTGTTGACCGCGCAGATGAAGCGCATCTGTGGACAATATTTCAACATAACGTTTAGATCACCAGTAAGCACCAAAGTATCCGTGCTTTTTCTATAACGAGGGACGTCGTTCAGTTGGTAACAAAATTCTACTTTCACCGAATTCGTGCTAGATTTCGTAGGCGCGGGGGCCGAAATGACAAACAGACACCATCCGTCTTTGCGCGACCTCAAAGCCTGGAAGGAGACTGACAATCTAATGATTGAGTTGAATCCAATAGATCACAGCAGCTGCTGTCCGGTGACTCCGAATAAAGCACACGCCAGTTTGACCGGCATTCAAAGCTGTCCTCTCCAGATAGGCGCAGTGAGAATGTACCGACAGTGTCGCAGGTTGGTGATCGGAGTGTGATCAAAAAACGAGAATTTTGCGGGCAAGTTTCTGACAAGCAGCAAACGTCAGATGATAGGATCTCCGGTATCCGGGCCAGTGCTGTCTGTTGGCCAATTTGCAACAAGTGCGCACATTGAGGCACACCAGTCTTAAGGGAGGACCGAGGGCTCCAAATAGAAGCAGATGAACTGATGTTGTCCGTTTGGCTGGACATATTTTTCTCGAATGGACGGGGGCGACGCTATGCGACTGTGTGTGTGTGTGTGTGTCGAAAATAGAAGTCGAGAGATAACTGAACAAGGCTGGGGATTGAAAACAGGGAGATAAAGGAAATTTCTCCATATAGTTTTCTTTTGGCACCGCCGTGTTGAGTTAGAGAGAAAGGATTAACAGCTTAAATATACAGCTCCTATCCGTTTGAATGTATATAAGATCGTAATAAGCGAAGTCGCTTAATACTGAAGCTATTGCATGATGTTTACCCTCTGTCTAGAGTGAGTTACATTTCGTACACTCTTAAATGTCGCTAATAGCAGGACTTCCTGAAGTCTCATAGCGTCCTGCAGAAACGTCACTGGTCGTTGTTTCTTGGGACGAAATTTTCATGTTAGTTACGCCTTGTTCTCTAAACTTTAGTTGATCCTGTGATTTCCCAACAAACTCCAGATCTTGCTTTTTTAGGCATTTAGCATAAAGTAGCATCTGTATCTGTGACGCTATCAAATAAACGGCATAAATATGCCAGTAGTTGCACAGATCTCCTGATCTCTTATACGTGAAATGAGAAGTTGCGAGGCTGAGACCAGGTTATTTCACTTGGCATTCCCAGAACTCTTTGCAAGAAAGGACCTTCGAATTAAGCGCTCTCTCGAAAACTTTATATGTTGCACATTGGGGAGGTTGTTGATTTACGATTGATGGGTATGTATATGATCGCCCTGTTAGGTGGAAACTAGTAAACATTTTCTGCAGTGATTCCGTGGCTCCGCTGGTATCCACGTGTTCCTTCGGAGCTTTATTGAAAACAACAATTTATGCCTAGGGAGCCAGACAGCGAGAACCGTGAAATGATATGAACTATACGAAAATTGCGCATCACATGTTAGGAGCAGTAGTGCAGCGATAGTCTAAGGACTCTATATTGTGCTAAATGAATGGTACGCACATTTACGATTGTATTGAATATTTTTTCCTATGAGGTAAAAATGTTAGTTGGGTCAACATGCGCAGTTTACGTTGTCGAGTATCAATATCCGTAGCGTCAAGTATAGCGCTCGTTTGCTTAGACCACATATGTGACGACACCAAATTTGCGATTGCAATGCAACAATGCAACAATGGTTTATGACGGGTATAAAAGCAATGCTTGACAGGTCCCGTAGAATGATGAGAATTAACATCGTAA